TTGCCTTTTTGCCAAAATGTTTTTGATTTTTTTTTTTAAAATTTTTTTAGAAAACCCTTTTCCCCCCCCCCCCCCCCCCTGCACCGCTGTGGACACTTGAAATACGCTGTCTCGGTCTTAAGGTTTCCAAGGGGCGAGACACAGGCGTATCCCAGGTGACGGGGTTCACAGCCAAGATCAGCATGGGTAACGGCATGCAGGTGCGGACGGACCCCTTTCCTTTCGTTGATGCGCTTTTTTCCCCTTAGTATTTGCGTGTTCCCAAGGGTGACATGTGCGTACATCAATTGGATCTCTTTTTCTTTAATCTGTTTAACGAACGCAGTATCGCTAGACTTTTCCTTCTTTACCATACGATGCATTGCTGTCGTGTAGGTGTGATGTTGGCCTGTCCGGAAGAAAGATTGTCGGGTGTGGAAAGTAACGACAGAAAATGTAGCGCCAGCAACATCCTTTAACTGTCGACGATCGACCCCTCGCTTGTATGGTTACGTCAGGCCCGGTCTAGGGAGGTTGGAAGACTGGCGTCTCAGTTCGACATTTTCCGGCTGCTTTCGTTCTACTACAGCAGCGTCGGCGGCTTCATGAACCAGGTGAGCGCGCGAACTCCTCTTGTTTTCGCGACCTGTTTGTGTTTTCATTTTTGGACGTGGGTATTGTTGTGTTCTGCTGGTGTGTTGTACTTATCCAATGTTGACCTAACGGTTTGACTGTTATCGAACATGAACCTCAAGTACCTTGTCTTTGTTCAAAGGCCGGCGGTTTGTCGGTTCGGTTATTGTTGTTGTTGTTGCTGTTGGTTGTTGCCGCTGCTGTTGATTTCGTCGTCAGTGGTGTAGCGTTGTCCAAATATTCCGCCCTCCCCCCACTCGGTGTTTGCCATCGGGATTGGGTTTTCGTCGCTTGGCAACGACGTTGTAAAACAAGCCAATTCACTTCGTGAACTCGGCAACCAGGTTACCGTTTTTTTTTTTACCTCGGTTTTTTTTTTTGGCGGTAACCATAATGGTGGTCGAGTAGATCATGTTGTGCGGGGTGGAGAAACCTCACTCCGCGCAACGGGGGATGATCGTACCACGTTGTGTTAAAATGGTCAAGCATCCTCGAGGCAGTTACACAGTGCTTACAACTGTCTCTGGAAGTAAAAGCACCAGAAAGTAAATTAAGTCATACGTAGCTGTCATCCGTACGCAAGGAAGTAAGCACAAGATGCCGAACACCCTTAGCAGGGATGCAGCTCACCCTTCATGCGACTCGCCAAATACCTCACGGCGCTTCGCGCTTGGTGATGTGAGAGCCTGGTCCGGTGAGAACCCGGCGTGCTCCGTCCCGGCTTTGTAGGGATGCGAGGTCAATGGTCAAACGACTACGGCATGCACGACTATGAGTATGAGTACACCCCCTCAAGGCCGTGTAATCCCACGCATGGTGGTCCCTTCGTCCCCCCCTCTACGTTATTGAACTTCCGTTTCCTCCTCCTCGCAGGTGCTTCTCATGACGGCGGTCTTCCTTTACGTGTGAGTGGTGGTGGTCGTTGTTGCTGCTGTTGTAGTACCGTAGGTGTGTAGTACCGTAGGTGTAGCTGTTGTTGTGATTGCTGCAGTCGTTGTTGTGTTTGTTGTTGCCATTTGTTGGACGTGTCGTATTTGGTGGATGTCATTACCATGGTCTTGGCCGTTCCGTCCATGTCCTGTTTCGGCATCACCCGCTCGTTCTTCCTACTCTTCGCCTCCTCCCCCTTGCCCACGTATGCCAGCGCAACTATGTATGCGACGTTTGCTGTGCTCGTCATCTCTAACCAAGCCGCACCTCTCCTGTCTGGTACCTGCGTGGCGTCAACAAACAGGTACGCGAAGCTGTACATCGCGTTCGACCCCGACTTCGTTGACACGGTCGACGACGATGTGCTCGATGCCATCTCCAGCCAGTTCCTCTTCCAGCTGGGTTTCCTGCTCATCCTCCCCATCCCGCTGCTTCTGGCCGTAGAGCAGGTGACCAAACAGCGCGGCAAGTTATTTAGCACCTGGGACAAAATGCAGTGATATTTTGTTGCTGCTAGACGTTGATGGGGTTATTTTCGCGCCTGAAACGAAACGAAACAAGGAACACTGTTGTTGCTGGACATCGTGGACGTTTTTTTTTTTTTTTCGTCCTGAGACAAGACGTAGCAGCCCTGGGCATTGTTGTCGCTGGACGTCAAGTTCGCGAGGACACGATTGCACGTAACCTGCAAAGGAAAGCTGTTTCGCCAACGCGAACGACTGGCGTCAACACGAGTGCACCTTCGTTAGCATGTTTGATTTTCTGCTCCCGGTGTTGGTGGTGTGGCCTCACACGGGGGTAGCGCGTCCTATCCTATCATACCCGTGATGCGGCAGTGACAGCCCCCTATCGAGAGGGTTGTCTTGGCACCCTGAGGTAGTGGCTCATTCCACCATCGTGTTGCATTACTCCCTCACACCGCCGCCTCTACGACATTGCCCAGTACCGTGCGGCTTGGATAGTCTTGAGTGTTCCGTTTTTCTTATCCTAACTTACCCCGCCTCCCTTTTTCTTTCACCATCGTACTCACGACTCAGTTGTACCTTTCTTACCTCTGTCCCGTCCTCCGCCCCGACTAACCCGCACGATGATCCTGTACGCGATCACCATCATCATCTCCATCGCCGCCACCGCCGCCGCCGCCGATGTAAACAGGGCATGCAACGCGCTGTCTCGACCCTGTTCAACATCATGCTCCGCCTGGCGCCCTTCTTCTTCATCTTCTCGGCCGGCACGAACGCCCACTACGTCAACAGCGCCGTCATGACGGGGCAGGCCAAGTACCAGGCCACGGGACGCGGCTTCGTCATCGCCCACGTGAGTTTTTCTTACTTGGAAGTTATTTTTAGGGTACATAGCGAAAAGGGAGAGCACGCGCTCTGCAGGCACCCGGACAATTTCACTCGTCTTCGGTGCTCAGTTGTGTTTCCGCCCCCCTCCCAACTAAACCTGCGCCAATCGCGATCGTAGCTTGTGGTAAATTTCCTTATTTTTTTGCGAGGCGGGCGCCGCGCCTGCGCTGGCTGCTTTGTTTGGTTGGCTCGGCTCGACCTCCGTACCTGCTGTCTTTTGTCCCCGTGCTTGTCGATGCCCTCGTTTGCAGGAGTACTTCGTGGACATGTTCCCCCTCTACCTCACGAGCCACTTCAACCCGGCCTTCGAGCTGCTGGTGGTTTTGATCGTGTACGCCAGCTTCGCGACGTCCGGCTACTTCCTTGAGACTTTCTCCGTGTACCTGCTCATCATCGGCCTGCTGTGGACACCGCTGGTCTTCAACCCTAACGGTCTGGACTTCACATACGCCAGGTACATGTCCATTCGAATCGTGTCGCGGCAGTTTTCCTCTTTTTTTTATTGGTGTGGTTTCCTGTTGTTATGTTTATTGGCGTCGATGTCGTTGTTGTTTTCGTTGGCTGTTGTCAGCGATAGTGGGATGCATCTACAGAGACGGGGCGCAGAATGTAACAACTGTGGTTCGAGTTGACATGGACCACGCATCTTCTCCCATGCACAATCACAATCACAGAGAGTGAACCGAGGAGTGAAACAATGAATTCACTTCGTAGCAGCATTACCAGCGATGTCAAGGTTACTTGTCTGTGTCGGTGGTTCCTTATTTCCTATTTCACGGAGCCCCGTCAGCTGGGACTCATAGTTGCAACCTCTTCGTACTGATTATTTTACTCTAGCTTTATCGCCCGACTGTACGTGACCTCTTCCTTCTCTCCGCCATCGATCCCCTATTTTACCGCTACCCCTCCCTTTCGTTTCCTTTTCTCCCTCACAACTCCCCCCTTCGCAGCCAAGACTTTACCGGGTGGATGGAGTGGATGAACAGCCCCGTGGATGACCCGAAGAAGGGCTGGCTCTCGTGGTACAGCAGGGTATTGGAGGAGACGAGGACCGAGCTTCCCTTCGGCAAGAAGCTGCAGGCCATCTTCCGCCGCTCACGGTACGGGACGCGAGGAATGCCTCCATAACAAGATTTGACTATTTGTTCGGTCTTCGATACCGTTTCGCACTGCTGTTGTTGTGTTTTTTTTTTCTTGATTCGGCGACAAACACACGCACTTCCACGACAGCATGTCAGTGTGTGGGTCACGGATCCGTTCGGTTTCGTCCGTATGACAGTGTTGCCGGCGTGGTTCCGGAGCGCGGATATCGCCGCGCCGATTTGTTTTTTGTTACCGTCGGGTGAAGGTGTATCCCGCCGTAATGAATTCGGTCGCTGTTGGCGGCTTTGTGTGTGGACCTGCACGACTGATGGCCTTCGACGGGTGCAGGTCCGAAACAAGCTCGCCCTCTCCCCTCCTGCCTCCTACCTTCGGCATCGCCCCGGCCATCTCCATCGGTGTAGCCGTCTACGTTAGTCAACTGTCTCGCTCTTTGTTGTGGACCGTTTCGGCAATGTCTCGAGCATTATATCACGGCAGTCTCCCTTCGGCTGATTTTTGGTTCTTGGAATTGCGTGCACCTGCCTCCTAGAACATACACCGCGCGCCAGTTTCCCCAGCGTTTGGGAAGCCCCTCCGACCCCTCCCCTCCACCTCATTCTGCGCTCTCTCATCGTGCCATGTACCTCCACCCCAAGGCTGCTGATCCTCGTGTACGGCTTCCTGACGGCCATCGGCGAGGACTACGACGGCGGCATCGACGGCGACGTGTGGCCCGGCTCGGTGGTGGTGGGCACGTGTATGCTGATCGTCGTGGGGCTGCTCATGTGCCAGTCCTGGATCCGCTCCAAGTGCTGCCCCCCCAAGGCGCTCAAGGGAGGCATTCAGGCCGCCAGGTGGGCGTGCAACCGAAACCAATGGAGAGGAGGGCGGTGCTACTAACAACGCCAACTCTAGCCCTAGCCCTAGTCGTATCCGAAGGTGGTCGTGCAACCAGAACGGAATGAGAGAGGGAAGGTGTAGTAACCCTAGTCCTAGCCCAAGGTGGTCGTGCAACCATAACGAAATGGGAGAGGGAAGGTGTAGTAACCCTAGTCCTAGCCCAAGGTGGTCGTGCAACCAACACAAATTGAGGGGGGGCTACATGTATTCCTCTCACCGAAACGGCTGGAGTGCTGAGTATGATCTTGATGCGGTAGGGTAGGCCCACAGCGTGGTCTCACATGGAGAAAAGTATTCCACAGCTTGATTTCAAGCGCTCGTAGAGCGATGACGTCGGTCTTGGCGCTGAAGAAGGGGACGGTGTTGCTGGCCTTCTTTTCTAGCTGCACCCTTTTTTTTTTCCACAGAGGTATTCAACATGCTAGAAACCCTTTGTTCGATCTGATTGATTATTGTCGAGGCATGTTGCTCACCTGTTGCTTGTCGCATCGGCCGGTGTGTTCTGTGCAAAGGTGGGCTCGTCTGTCGAAGCTCTTCATCCTGGTGGGCGTTATCGTTGGCGTCATCGTGCTCACGGATTTGGACATTCTCGAGAGTATTCGACAGGTGAACTGCAAAAGACCAGACTTCCAACACACACCCTTCGACTGTGATGTTGTCTCGAACGGGTTTTAGTCTTTCAGTGACCGTACTGTATATTTTCTAAGAATATCGAACTAAATATATACTGTAATTGAGCTGTCGATACCGTGACCCTCGATTCCCATAAATGGATGGGCTACTCTGGCAACTCAAATCAGGCTGTGCACACATGTCTCTCCCGACATGTCCCTTGCTATCCGCAAAGAGGAAGCGACAAATATTAACTCCAAGGGTAAGGTAGATGCACGACATCCGAACCTCTGAGGGTACAGGTATGAGTAAAGCTCCCCTGGTTACATTAGTTGGGCAGGTCGGGTGTGCTATGGCTAGGTCCGTCGTGTAGATATTATTGTGGGTGTTGGCGGTATGGTAGTTCTTTTCAAACAGCATTTTGTGACCCTAGTCTGGGGGTATGAACAAGAGATTCTTGCGAGCGCTTAGAACCTGCGATCCTTAGTTCTGGCGTGGTTGTTTTCTCAACACATGAGCATGGAGACAAACGGTCCCGAAAGATTCTTTGCGGTGACCCCCTCTTTTTTTGTTCTCTTTCTGAGGGTGCATGGCAAACCAAGTGTAGAGTATCGGAGATGAATGGCTCAACGCCCTCGTTTCTTGCTATTCGGCGCCGCTCATGGCCTAACCGTGTCGATGTACTCGTCTCTACTGTGTTTTGCTACGCCCTATCATATGGCGCTTCTTTCTTCCAACGTCCCTGTTACCCCGCTCGTTCGTTCCCCTCCGCCGTCCCCCCTCTCTCTCCGCGGCAGTTCATCTTCTACATCCTGTCGTTCGTGATCCTCATCTACTACGTGTCCCAAATCGTCGTGCTCTTCATGGAAGACGCTCTGAGGAACGTGGCCCTGGTTAACCTGGCGTTCAAGTCAGTGCACCTCATCACGGGCATTGTGATAATTGCCCCGGTGCTGCTGCTGAGCTTCTTCCCCCTCTTCGTCGACCTGCAGACGCGAATGCTCTTCAACGAAGACTTCTCCCAGAGGTACGCATGCGTTTTGCGACATGTTGGGCGCTTTGCCACGGGGTTAGGGATGAGCGAAAAGCAAGTTGCACGGAATGCTTTGCGCTACCATGTATCCGGTGTTGTCGAGCTGATGTTCCGGCTTTGTTAATGCAGGGGGTGTCCTACAAGAACGCTACAAGGTGCACGCATGATGCACTACGCGCCCATTCAACGGGAAGAGGGAGGGTTTTCCCAAAATGGCGAGTGCGGGTGTATGCGCCGAAGCGTTATTTTGGGACGTTCCATTCTCACGCATGCTTGCTGTTGGCCTTGCCGTTGCCGCCTTTGCCCTGGCCGCTACCTCCCGCCCAACCACCCGCGCACAAACAGGTTCTCCATCGCCAAGATCTTCGCGAGACAGAGCAACCGCCGCCATGTAAAGAAGAACGACTAAACGCCGGTGGTCGTCCCACCATCCTCGCCGCAGGGCGGAGCAATCCGACCGTCATGTCGTGAAAGAGGAGCGGTTAGGACTACTATGATAGTAGTTCCGGCACAGTCGTTCCCACTTTAAGGACACCCACGGGGTTACTTGAAAAGAACCGTGCCCTTAGAGCGGGAGATGTGTCCTTAATGCCCCCGTGCTGTTTTAGCATTCTGCGGGGCACCATGCTTCTGAAAATAATGGTGTCGTTGAAAGCGGGGAGCGTCCTTAGGTGGGGACGACTGTACTATTTATTATTTGCGTTACTTTGATTGTTGTAGGGGAAGTTCGGTCCCCATTGGAGATGGTAGTTGATACTTGATATAATAGTTGCAGGGGAGGCTAGGGGAGGGCTAAGGGACCAAGTGTCAGGCGAAAGGTTTTGATTGGGCGGTGGGCAAGTAGTCTGGATCGTGGTGCGAACAGCGGTTGGTTGCGTTTGTTCCATGGCGGGGGACTTTCCGGATGAAGAAGGATGGGAGTATAGCATAGAGGGGCCTGTACCGAGTTGGGCTTGCATGAATACGGCGTGTTGCACTCTCGTTGTTTTTGGTGTAAGAGCCCGGTGTTTGTTAGTAGGCCTTTTTCTTTTCCCGGCCAAAAGTTTTTGCTTGGTTCCCGTGGACTAGGCTAGGTAAGCTTTTTTTGTTGGGTGTCTATGGTTGTCTGCGGGTATGTGTTGCCCCTGCTGGTTTCCTGGCCGCACACGTTGTGAACGGTGGTCAGAGTATTGCCATGTATGGCAACGAATGGATGTTTAGTTATAATTTGCAAGTTGATAACACAGGTCGTCCGTAGCCGGAAAGCAGTACGCGCTAAAACGCTTTTCTGTGTGGTGCTTTTGACTGCCTGCCTCCGTTGAAATTCATCACTAACGATACGCAAAATGCAACAACGACAACGGCCGCTGCTCCGTTTTGTCTTGCAATCGAACCCTGCCAAATGTTTATGAGTTACGCGCCGAGGTCCGTACACGGATGTACATAAAAATTACGCACACGCTTTTCCAACGCGTGTTTCTCTGGGGCCCATTCCCCCCGGGCGCGGGGGAAAGCCTCACTGCTTGCCGTTCTTGTGAGATTGGGTTAGTCTAGCGGTGATTCGAACAAGATAGGAGTCAATAGGTCATTGCGTCAAACGCCTGAATCGTTGATGTCATTCTAAAGCTCCTCGCTGTCTAGGAGCATTGCTCCGCCCTCTTTTCGCACGGAAACATGAGCCACAGCCTCTTTCCGCACCTTGTGGACATGGTGATGTCCGATCCGGACACCACAAATGTTACTAAAAAGAATGGATCCATCACTCACATCGGTCCAAAAAAAAACGAAGGCAAAGTACCGCAGGAGGGGTGGGTAGGGGGCCCTAGGGAGAGGAACCATTCTGTGTGAACGAGTTGGAGTAAACGACAAAAAATGCTGTAGCGTCAGCGGAAGTTCTGTTTTTCCACGATTTCCCGAGCAGCACACAGCGATATCTTCCCTGTGGTTCAACAAGATAGTTTGATTGGAAACCGTGGAAATACAGGTAGCTTTCTCTGATGCTATGAATTCATTGCTAATAATCTATCTTTTTTGAGATTCTTTTCTTTCAGTAGATACTGCTGTAGAGATGGATTCGTTGGGTCGTTGGGTCAAGCTACTGTTGAGAAAAATGTCCCTGACTCTTTTCGTAATTAAGGAATAATAAAAACACACACAGAAAGACTACCCACTCTATGATAGAGATGGATTCGTTGTGTCATACTGAGAAAAAAAAAAAAAGGGCCGATGCGGCGAAAATGCGGCGTAATCCACAATAATGTTTATGTTTTCATGCTGGTGTTGTTGTTGCACTCCACCTCCACCCTGACACAATACCGGCAGCAACGACCCGAGGACCAAGGAGTACGAGGGCAAGCTAGAGGCCACAAACCGGCCTTGATTGGCGCCAGCCCTTGCCGGTCGTGAAAAGAGGGTCAGCCAGTGCGTTCGTGCGTGCTGTGTGTTTCGGCGGGGGCTCTGCATCCAAGGTGCGTCGTTGCACCCCGCCAATTGCTCGCCGCCGGCGCAGCATTGAGCCCTTTTGCCTTGTGTCTTGTGAGCCAACCCGATGTGCTAGCTCCTCCTGGCAGGACTAGAGAGCGCGCCTGACGTGATGTACTTGCGTGGGCGAGTCCAAGGGGGCGAGTCCTTGGTATTCTCGAGTAGTCGACGGGCGACTCCAGGTATGCCCGCCGGGAACAGCAGTTGCACACCAAAGTCGTGTTGGACCGCACCGACCGGAAGCCTGCTCACACGGGGTTTGTCTGTTGAGACGAATGCCTTGCAGGCGGTGATTGCACGGTAGTGGTAGGCGGAGCAGTAGGGTGTGCCCCCTTCCATTTCCACATTCCAAAAAGTGTTGTATGCTGTGCACAGCAATAATGCCGAAGTTCAACCAAAAAGGTGAACAGCAATGTAAATAGCGCTATTTCCATCTCAATTCGTAATACCAAAAGAGGGCAACCTTCCCCCTGTTTAGATCTTATGCGTTCAGTAGAGGACATCACGAAGAGGCGTCATGTGTGCTGGAACGTTCAAGCTTTGCTAGATACTTGAGCAGGAACATCAAAGGTCGCAACAGTCTCTGAAACAGTACATGATCTGCCCCCCGGCACCCCACATTTGTCACAGTCGTGCAGCAGCTCCCCCAGCCTAGCCTCGAACTCAGAGAAGCGGGAAAAACGCGGAGGAATAGCTTGTATGGTGTTGTCACGACGTTTTTTTTTGCCCTGACTGTCCCCGGTCGGCCAGCCTAGTTATCGATTACTGTAGACACGCCTGAAATCAACCAGGGCCTAGGACCAGTACCCCCCCCCCCCGCCCCCATCGGGGTTGGGTTTTCGTCGCTTGGCAACGACGTTGTAAAAGGAGCCAATTCACTTCGTGAACTCGGCAACCAGGTTACCGTTTGTTTTTTTTTACCTCGTTTTTTTTTTTTTGGCGGTAACCATAATGGTGGTCGAGTAGATCATGTTGTACGGGGTCGAGAAACCTCACTCCGCGCAACGGGGGATGATCGCACCACGTTGTGTTAAAATGGTCAAGCTTCCTCGAGGCAGTTACACAGTGCTGTCTCTGGAAGTGAAAGCACCAGAAAATAAATTAAGTCATACCTAGCTGTCATCCGTACGCAAGGAAGTAAGCACAAGATGCCGAACACCCTTAGCAGGATGCAGCTCACCCTTCATGCGACTCGCCAAATACCTCACGGCGCTTCGCGCTTGGTGATGTGAGAGCCTGGTCCGGTGAGAACCCGGCGTGCTCCGTCCCGGCTTTGTAGGGATGCGAGGTCAATGGTCAAACGACTACGGCATGCACGACTATGAGTACCCCCCCCCCCCCAC